AGGGGGGGGGGGGGGGAGTCGGGAAGATGGAAAAGGGTAAGTGCTAGGGAAAAGAAGAAAGGATAAGCCAGTGTGATAAAAAGGGGCATTTCTTTTTCACCAACAGAAGTAACGGTAAAGAGGTAGGCAGTTAGAAGCTCGAATTACAAGTCTCAGAGTAGAAGAATCTGCCGGGAAGGGACGATACACTTGTGGAAACCGGAGAAGGGAGGATCCACTGTTGGAAAGATGTGAACAAAAAGGTGTATGAGAGGACTGTTGACCTCTGAGGAGGATGGCCTCAGTAGCTCAGCTTTGGGCCTACCTAAGAAGAAAATCCCTTCTTACCGCCCTCTGATCTAATCATTCGGGACGCATAAAACAATCTGGATTAATCAACAGTAAATTTTCCTTTCGTGCTAAGATATATTAACAGAACTCCTACGTATTATATTAAAATGAGCATACATCCCTCTGTAAATAAGACTGCGATTACACCAAGAAAGGGGTTTAGAGAGGCCTTGTTAAGTTGCTAATTGAGGAGCGGAGGAAAGGCATCCGTTTTACACTGAAATTTGGGCGGCGACTACCATTCCGAAGGCAATCAGTCGCTGGTGCAGCACACTTCTTAGGAGATCGAGTTTTACCCCAGCGGACGGGTAGGGTGAGAATCTGGCTTGGCGGCTTCGGCTCCGGCCGTCCAGTTCCCTTCCCTTTATAAGGGGGGTCGGGCTCCGGCCGCCACCAGTCACTCTACGGCTCTCGGGCAGAACGCTCGGTCGCACCGCCTGCTGACATCCCGGATGAATCCCCTCAGGCCTGGCAACGAGGAAGCTGTCTCCAGAGACCATCGCATACGCTGAGGCCGACGGGCTGGGGTCGCCGTGGGAAGCACGGAAGGTCACCCTGTTCCCATGATCGCCGGCACACAGGGACACGGAGTTCAGAGCCATCTTCAAACACTGCCTGCAGTATTTGCTCTGCGTCCCTGGGTCAAAGGAGGCCCTCTGCCGCTCCGCAGATCAGTTCGGCGCGTCTCGGACGCAGAGACTAGCTACAACAGGAGCCATAACTAAGGCGGCGGCAGATAGAGAGGCCGTCCTTAACGAGCGCCCTCCTCGTGAGCATGCGCGGTCCGTGCGCGCTCGTCGACGCCAGCTGAGAGCGAGCGTGAGGGTCGTTTACGTCGGTGACGCCTGGTTGCGCGAGGACGTGAGGTTTCCGAGAGTGCGCAGTGGGTGCGTCGGCCACGACTGTTCGGCCTGCTTAGGGAGGGGGCGACACTGAGATGGGGGCGGCGGCGGCGGAAGCGGATCGCACTCTCTTTGTGGGCAACCTTGAGACTAAAGTGACAGAGGAACTCCTTTTCGAGCTTTTCCACCAGGTAAGCGGCTGGGATCAGCCCGTTTGCCTTTCGTTTTCCCCCTCGCCTAGAGCCCGGCCCAACTGCCGTCCCCGCTTTTTTCGCTCGAGCTTGGCAGTCCGTGGGACACCGCACAGGTGGGCAGTTTGGAGGTGGAGGGTGCTCTTAGGAAGGGAGGCGTTCGCTGGGTGTCTGTTTATCAGAAGAACTCTGGTTAGTTCAGGCCAAAATGTGACGGCTAAAGGTAGTGGAGGAATCCTCAACCATGCATTCCCGTGGTAAAGATCAGGAGCCCCGAGGGACATAATACCTGGGGCGGGGTCTTCGTTGAGCAGTGTTTTTCCTATTCTTTTCTCATCTTCCCCTTAGGGTAAGTAGTCTTTGGTTCATCTGACTGGAAACTTGTATTTCGGTTTCTTTGTCAGTATCTGTTTTCCTCTTGTTTATGAAATTGCAGCATGATTAAAATATTTAAAATATAATCATAAGTACTCCGTAGAAAAGCAGCATTGTAATGTTTCTGTATTAAAATATGTGGAAAGTTTTAAGTATCCCGTTCCCAGTCCCCTAATACCTGGTAATGTTTGATTAATTGATTAAAAAAAAGTGAATTTTTAGTCCGAGAAAATCATTCTCTTGCTCTTGTTTTCGATAAGCATTCGTTTCCAAGGAGTGGGAAAATGATGGCTGTTGGTCACTGTGTTAAAAAGTCATACAGTTCTGTGAAACATAAAGGTGATTGTGTTTACAATTCCTTATGGGCCCCTTCCCCAAATAAGTTAATCTGATTTTCAGTAAAAGCTAGGACTTTTACTCTAACCAAAGTGGAAATCTTTGTGCCTCCATTTTTTTAAAGTTCCTGATTACATTTCTGTTGTTTTTAAACTTTGTACTCTCTTTTAGTTGTAAAATTTGAGTATTTTCCTGAAATTACCTTATTTGAAGTTGAACACGTTTTTGTTTGTAGGCTGGGCCAGTAATAAAGGTGAAAATTCCAAAAGATAAGGATGGTAAACCAAAGCAGTTTGCTTTTGTGAATTTCAAACATGAAGTATCTGTTCCTTATGCAATGAATCTACTTAATGGAATCAAACTTTTTGGAAAGCCCATCAAAATTCAATTTAGATCAGGTAATGTATTAGTCCGTTTATGTTCCTTATAACAAAATACCTGGAACTGGGTGATTTATAAAGAAAATGAAATTTATTGCTTACATTTTCTGAGGCTGGGAAGTCCAAAGTTAATCTGGTGTTGGTGACAGTGACTCATTGCAAGATGGTGGAAGCAGAGAAAGACTTCTTCTTCTTCTTCTTTTTTTTTTTTTTTTTTTTAAAGATGACCAGTAAGGGGATCTCAACCCTTGGCTTGGTGTTGTCAGCACCACGCTCAGCCAGTGAGCAAACCGGCCATCCCTATATAGGATCCGAACCCGTGGCCTTGGTGTTATCAGCACCGCACTCTCCCGAGTGAGCCACGGGCCGGCCCTAGGAATCTCAGATTAGGCTTTTTTTTTTTTGAGACCGGCCGCACCGCGCTCAGCCAGTGAGCGCAGCACCGGCCATCTCTATATAGGATCCGAACCCCGGCGGGAGCGCTCCCAGCGCTGCACTCTCCCAAGTGCGCCACGGGCTCGGCCCGAAAGACTTCTTCTTTTAAAGCCATCAGAACCATGCCCCAACCACCATTTTTAATCCGTTCACTACTGCACTGTACTACAGTCCAATCACCTCTTCAAGGCTCCACCTTTCAGTTATCATAATACGATTTCCCACCCTCTTAACAGTCACAGTGGGGGCTAAGTTTCTAATACATAAAACTTGGGAGACAATTCAAGCCTCAATGAATTTTGGGGGGACATAATTCAATTTACTACAGGTAACTATTCACTGATGTATTTAGGGGGAGGGGGTGGTTTGCTTCTTTGTTTTTTGTTTTTAAATTTATTATTCAGTTTTAAAGAAACTCTTTTTTGGATGAAAATACTTTCTTAATATTTTCAGACTGGGGGTAACTGAAACCTCAGAAAGCGAAACTGTAGATAAGGGGAGAATTACTGTATTATGGCCAAATTGGATATTTATATGTTGGATAGTACCTTGTTTGGAATGCTTTGTATTATGTATGTTACGTTACATACTTAAAGGGTGGCAGGTTAGCTCAGTTGGTTAGCTCAAGGTGTTATAACAAGGTCTAAGAGTTCGAATCCTCTTTTGGGCTACCTGCCAAAAAAAAAAATTCACTGTGATGAAACTATAAAGCAGTCTATATAGCAATATGAGATTTTTCTCTTGTAGACTGTGTTTACCTTTTTTGATTTGGGGTAGGGGAGACAAAATTTCAAATTAAATTTTCTATCAGGAAGAATTTTTCAAATTATTCCATTTTAGGAAGTAGTCATGCCTCGCAGGATGTCGGTTTGTCATATCCCCAGCATCATGTTGGAAATTCAAGCCCTACCTCCACATCTCCTAGCAGGTAATGTTTCTCACCTATTGCTAAAATCATTTATCAGGAATTTTCCTAGGTGATGATCTCAAAACATGTAGTGAGTGAATAGCTTCCTTCTTTATGCTCCTATCTCTTTATTTTTGTGCTGTATTACTTGCCTTATTGGATTATTGTTATATATCTAAGAGAATTTTAGACAGACATTGGATATAGTCCCCTTAATATAGATATATACATAACTGTATTTATGTTCATTTGTGAAGACATACCCACACATACATACACATGTACACAATTGAAACAGAATTTCACAAAACATTACTTATGTTTACTACTTGCAGTACACTCTATTTTCTACTTTATTCATCTTTTAAGATTTTAAATTAGTTTTATGACCACTAACTGGTTGTTCCTTGCAGTTTAAAAATACTGATTAGTAAACAGACTACTAGACTAAGAATTCGTAGAATGGATTCTAGGTCTGCCTCTACCAATTGTGTAATTTTGACTTAGTCTCCTTTCTCTGGTTCTACCCCTCCATTTGTAAGGAAGAGAAGTTTAATGAAATGATCTGTAAAACTCTAAAACCCCTACAGCTACTGAGGGTTAGAAAAGCTACTGTATTTACTTAAATAATTTTATTTATTTGGGGGAGGCTGATACTTTACCAGGGACGATTTTTTCCTAGTATAGTTATAGAGCTAATTAACAATCATAGTGGGCTTCATTCAAGAAAGATTTAAGAAATGCCTGCCATGTGTCAGGTTCTTACATATATGATCTTATTTATTCCTCCCACAGCAGTCTTATGAGATAGGGATTATTTTCTCTGTATGGGAAGGAAATGAGGAGTGGAGGTTAACTTGGTCAGGTTTGAACTGCTCATAAGCAATGGGCTGGGATTCAAACAGGCAGTGTGATCGAGCCCAGCTACTATGATATAGTGTCTACTGAAGCTTAAAGTCTAGATGAAGACACATACTTTTTATATGTATACACATAGCATATCTATATTTTGTTTTTGCTAACTTCTCTGTATCATTCGAATTTTAGTATATGTGCTGCCAAAGCAAGCACTATATATGTATTTTTGTGACCGCCTGTTTAGTTGCTATAATAAGGCCTCTGAAGGAGTAGAAAGTGCTTTGAGAAAAATTTTAACAGCAGGAGATGATATAGATAGATGAGGAACTGAAAGAAGACAGTATGCATAGATCATAATGAATGAAAATAGAGAGCAGTAGGTGATATTGGTGAAGTAGACTGAGGCTGGATAAGGTGGTATAGGCTTTAATCAAGATTTTAGGATTTTATTCTAAAATCAGTAGGAAGGTATTGAAATATTTTAAGTAGGACAGTGATAGGAACAAGGTTGTATATTAAAGAGTTGTTTGGTTGTAGTGGGAGAATGGTTTGGAGCAGACAAGAGTGAAAATAGACCAATTAGGAATCTGTTGGTAGCAAGTTATTGGTATTGGTAGAAATGTAGCAAGGAAGCTATTGGGATGAGGTTGGTGGTTTGGATTAGGTGGTGCAAAGAGCTGGAGGGAAGTGGATGGATAGGAAGAGATATTGGAAGGTGGAGTTGTAAGCAAGCATTAGTGCAGAAAGACTACCCTCACCACATCCTTTCTTGCCAGCTGAAATTAATTAGTGGTGTTTAAACACTTCGCAGAGCAGTTGGAATTCAAAGCATTTCCAACCATTTTTATGGAACCTTTAAAGGTAGGTATCTGAGGTGGAGGGGGGAAAAGGGGTTTTCCTGCCTTAGAATTTCTTGGGGAAAAAGATATACGAGTAAATACGTCAGTTTTAATCAAAGGCTAAAGAGTTTATCATTTTTATGCTCTTTTATAATATAAATTAAATTGTACTTTCCCCCCTTACCATTCAGATATATATAACCTGATTTAAGAAAATCAAAAATAAAAAGATCTAAACTGTAAGACAGACCAATTGGTTATTTGATTCTAAAGAGATATTATTATTATTTTTTTTGTCCTTTTTGAGACTGGCTGCACCACGCTCAGCCAGTGAGCGCTCTGAGCGCACCGGTCATCCCTATATAGGATCCGAACCCGCAACGGGAGCGATGCTGCGCTCCCAGCGCCGCACTCTCCCGAGTGCGCCACGGGCTCGGCCCCTAAAGAGATATTTTAAAATAATTTAAACATTTTTAAAGTGAGCTTTTCTGTAGAGCAAGTTACCTCTTTAGTAAGTGAGGAGTAAGGTATAAGTCCTTAAAATTAATATCCTATCTATGTTATAGAATCTAATTCCTTATCCCCCAAAACCTGTTTCTCTTTCCTGTCTCAATAAATGGTCTACCCGCTGGCTCAAGCCAGAAATCTAGACTATATCCTTTATTTCTTCTGTTTTCCTCATCCTTCATATCCAGTCCATCAAGTCCCTTCTGTTTTAGTTCTCAGTATTTAGCTTCGGGACTGACGCATTTTTTCTATAAAGGCTCAGAAGGATAATATTTTAGACTTTGCAGGCAATACGGTCTCTGTCTCTGCCATTGTAGCACTAAAGTAGCCATAGATAATACAAAAACAAAAGAATATGGCTATGTTCCAATAAAACTTTGCTTACAAAAACTGAATTTGGCAATTTGGCCCATAGAGCTGTAGTTTGCTCACCCCTGCACTACCCCTTCCCTCATCTGGGAATGTTTTGCCTCCCAGTAATCTTACTGTTCTGCTTTCATTTCAAATGTCTCCTTTTTAGAAAGGTTGTCCCTGACTAGCTAAGCTAAAATAGAACCCTCTTCTCTCTTACCTTCACTTGATCTGTAATCATGAATTATATCCCGTATAACTATGTGAAAAAATCCAATTGTCTTTATTCTTGTTCTTGCTCCATGACAGCAGATAATTTGTCTATCCTGTTCATTTCCACCATTGAAAACTACATTTTGCTCATGATTGGTATTTAGTAAATATTTATTGAATGAATGGCTATACGTTGATTTTCTTATTTTTAGCAGGTATGAAAGGACTGTGGATAACATGACTCCATCAGCACAGATANACCAATTGGTTATTTGATTCTAAAGAGATATTATTATTATTTTTTTTGTCCTTTTTGAGACCAGCTGCACCACGCTCAGCCAGTGAGCGCTCTGAGCGCACCGGTCATCCCTATATAGGATCCGAACCCGCAACGGGAGCGATGCTGTGCTCCCAGCGCCGCACTCTCCCGAGTGTGCCACGGGCTCGGCCCCTAAAGAGATATTTTAAAATAATTTAAACATTTTTAAAGTGAGCTTTTCTGTAGAGCAAGTTACCTCTTTAGGAAGTGAGGAGTAAGGTATAAGTCCTTAAAATTAATATCCTATCTATGTTATAGAATCTAATTCCTTATCTCCCAAAACCTGTTTCTCTTTCCTGTCTCAATAAATGGTCTACCCGCTGGCTCAAGCCAGAAATCTAGACTATATCCTTTATTTCTTCTGTTTTCCTCACCCTTCATATCCAGTCCATCAAGTCCCTTCTGTTTTAGTTCTCAGTATTAGCTCCGGGACTGACGACATTTTTTCTATAAAGGCTCAGAAGGATAATATTTTAGACTTTGCAGGCAATACGGTCTCTGTCTCTGCCATTGTAGCACTAAAGTAGCCATAGATAATACAAAAACAAAAGAATATGGCTATGTTCCAATAAAACTTTGCTTACAAAAACTGAATTTGGCAATTTGGCCCATAGAGCTGTAGTTTGCTCACCCCTGCACTACCCCTTCCCTCATCTGGGAATGTTTTGCCTCCCAGTAATCTTACTGTTCTGCTTTCATTTCAAATGTCTCCTTTTTAGAAAGGTTGTCCCTGACTAGCTAAGCTAAAATAGAACCCTCTTCTCTCTTACCTTCACTTGATCTGTAATCATGAATTATATCCCGTATAACCATGTGAAAAAATCCAATTGTCTTTATTCTTGTTCTTGCTCCATGACAGCAGATAATTTGTCTATCCAGTTCATTTCCACCATTGAAAACTACATTTTGCTCATGATTGGTATTTAGTAAATATTTATTGAATGAATGGCTATACGTTGGTTTTCTTATTTTTAGCAGGTATGAAAGGACTGTGGATAACATGACTCCATCAGCACAGATAATTCAGAGATCCTTCTCTTCTCCAGAAAATTTTCAGAGACAAGCCGTGGTAGGTTGATTTTTTTCAACTTGAGTTGCTAAAAAATAAAAAAATCATACTTAGTTAAATTATATCAGATAACTGTGATTTTTAATTACCTTTGTTAAGTTGGAAGTTTTATTCCTTAAGTCTTTAAGACATAAATGTAAATTAACTTTTTCTCAAATTTTGTTAGACTGCCATGGTCTTTGTAGGTTGATTGCTCCTTTTAGTTTTCACTGGGCTAAAATACATACTTAAAAGACTGAAGAAAAATAGAAGTAAGACTGCATTTTAAACTTGTATTTCTCTTTCCAACCATCATTGTGGGTTATGTGTATTTACAAATACTAGAGATTTATTGTCTCATGCTCTTGCAACCTATCTTATAAACTCTTTTTAGTATTTTAATGTACTGGAATCTTCTAGACCAGCTCTTCCATGAACTTTCCATTTTTTAATAGTAATATCACTGTGAAAAAATAGCTAAAGTCTTAGCTATCTTTTACTGTTCCATCTTTGTCTCTACTCTTTCACCACATCCTTCATGTCTTTATTTGCAGTAGTTCTTAACGTTCATTTCTTCCTTTCTATTTTCTTTACCCAAATCATGATCTTGACTTGAGGTCCCCAGGCTTTTGTATTTCACAAGTCTGCAAAATAAAAATATAAAAGTGAAATAAAATAGAGAATAGTATAATGGGATGTCAACTTTTATGTACGTACTGCTTATTTTTATCATTTTACTATAGACCATAACTAAAAATCATTCTGGATTAATATCTATCCACAGGCAGAATTTGGGAATCACTGGGCAAGTCAGTTAGTATGTCTCCATTTTTCCCCTCACTAATCCAGTTTGCACATCATTTAAAAATTAATATCGTAACTCTGCTTTGCTTTCTTCCCTGCACATCGACTTTCCATTGCTTACAAGATAAGGTCAGATTTCTCTAGACTATTTGTTAGGCATTCCCATCTGATTCCAGTAAACTTTTTAGCTTTACCTTCCATCCTGTACTGCTTATAAGTTCTATAACCTGTCTCAGCCAGAATTACTTTGTACTTTATGAATCCAGTCTGTGTTTCCCTGTTATTTTTGTTTGTGTAATTTCCTTTCCTCTTAAAAGCATGCCTCACTCTTAAAATATTTCATCCATTCTTTTAATATTCAGATCATATGCCACCTTCACGAAGCTTTCCCTAACAATACTTTTTTTTAAAAGATGACCGGTAAGGGGATCTTAACCCTTGACTTGGTGTTGTCAGCACCACGCTCAGCCAGTGAGTGAACCAGCCATCCCTATATGGGATCCGAACCCAGGGCCTTGGTGTTATCAGCACCACACTCTCCCGAGTGAGCCACGGGCCGGCCCCATTATAATCATTTTGTATTGCTTCTTCCCTTCTAAGTTGTATTCTTGAGGGCAACAAGTAGTGTTTTTGTACAGGTATCTTACATAGGAATACATTGGAATGAATGTAGCTATTGTATTGTACTACTTTAGTTACGTTTAACTTAGGATCCATCTATGCAAGAGTGAT